TTGGTTGTTGGTCTCTTCTGAAGGTTAAAAACCTTGAAATTATTTCCAGACCACCACAATGTAAGCTAGCCACTGACTTGAAATGTTGTTTCCAACTTTGGCTACTTCCTATCACAATCTGAGCCTTTATATACTACTACTATTTCAATCAGCATTAAGAATATCAATATATAGTGCATTTTCATGAACCCATACACAGAAAGCAGTTAAGCGTAGTTTTATGAGAGTCACAAACATCAGAGGCCAGTATAATTCGCACAGAACAATCAAAGCCCTATTATTCAGAAGAAGCATGTAGGCGCCAGTAACTATTATAATACTCTGGCATGCTGCTCTCTGGAATCCATAAATTCTGTATTATTATTTTTACTAACTCATCTTGTGGTGAGAGTTGTCTTCAAGCCAAAATTGGTAGACACCAATTTACGTCAATGTTTACTTCCCGAGTCGGGGTCATGAGAAAAAACAACAATAACAAGGCCTAGCCATGAGGAACTCACCAACCAATCACAGCAGACTTAACGTGTGCGAATACGATTCGCAGATATACGGCTTAACTTTTTAAGAAACGGTCGCAAGCAGGACAGAATAACTTTCAGCAAGAAGAAAACCAATCATAAGACGTTACTTCTCTGTGCTGACAATAATGTACATAAAAACCCATGAATATGTGTTGAGAGCTGGCCGTTCGTCAAAATTGGTGGACAGTAATTTACGTCAATGTTCATGTCCCCAATATTGTTCGTGAGAAAAATGAGAAGTAAGGCTTTGCGTAGGCAGACACAGTTAACATACAGATGATCTGACATTCAAGAAACAGCCACAGAGAGATAAAGGGTCAGCTTTCTGTGAGAAACAACCAATCAGAGTGGACTGTGTTTTTCTGCTAACAATAATCTACAATAATGTATATGAAAATCTATAAATGTGTGTTGATTTCTTTAATAAATGATCTGTTGACTGACCCTTAGTCTTCTGTCATTACAATCTGATATATTCAAGTTTAGTATTAGGGTTGATGCATACACTTTTGAACTGTGATCTACTGATCTGATCTGATTGATTCCAATTTCAATCTTTTTTTTAAAAAAGAACATTAATGTTGTCAATGACAACAATCATCGGTCTTCAATGATTGGATTACAGATGCATACATAACTGTAGATGCATAACTGTAGAACCTGATGAAGAGGAGAAGAGGAGGCTTTTGTAAAATGTGGATCAATATTCTTTATTCAGTTCTAATCTCAATATATTTTTAAAAGAGACTGCGGTATCTGGTGAAATTCATCGATTCACTGATTGATTTGATTGACACACATAGTACAGTGGAAACTTGAAAATTACTATTATTTTTTAAAAACATAATTGATTTCAAATAGAAAACATTACCTGTATCCATTATTTTTTTGAAAAAACCATACACACATTAAAGTGACAAAAAGCCGATTATCATCAATCGATTTATGCATACAACAGCCCTAGTCGAATGATGATGTCATGCATAGATATATACAGAGATGATTTATGATAATTGCCTTCCAGGTGAAACATTAAGTGATTCAACAACACATCGCGATCTAGCTGACTGTAAGATAGCCTATAATAATAAGCTCTCATCTCTTTCGATGTCACCCTCGAAGTGAGATACCCAACATGGTGTTTTTCACAATCGAGTTCCATCACTTGTGAGGGGGGTTTGACAACACCTTTAGCAGTCTCTTCAACGTGTATCCAAATCCAATTTCATTTTCTTCTGCATGTTTGTTGCTCCTGAAAGGGTGCACGAGGGGTGGTGGTGGTGGTGGCAGGTGTTGATGAAAATCATCATAAGTCTACATGTTGCCGGAAATAACTTCAGTGACGTGTAGGCCAAATCTCTAAGGCGTAAAAAAGCACTGATAAACTTGAACATTAGTTTTCAATTAGATCTTCATCTCTCTCTGGCTCTACTCTAATATACACGTATAGCATTTTTATTATTACAATACACAACAGTTTACCAATCATCAAGTGGCCCTGATATGTTTGTTAACAATAATTAGTCAGTGTTAAAATGTCAATGGCTTATTACGCAGCAGAGGTACGTTGTCTCTTCTCAACTAACCCTATTCTACGTTCGAGAAATAAGGATAAACGACTTATGTGTATCTGCCATTTTGGCTGCAGCTGCGGAGCCAACTACATCCGATGTACAATTAGGCAGGTTCATCGTCGTATTTCCTACCATCATCCAACATGGTTAAGCAAAGGACAAACAAGTTCTATTCGTAGCTCTATTTTAGCCCACCTTGTAGATAGTGAGCATAAAGTTGACGTTAATACTGCATTTAAAATTATTTATCGCATTCCGACTAATCGTAATTTTGCTCTACGAGTTCGTCTTCTACATACCTACAGCTGAAGCAATAGGAATCCACCTGAAGAAGAAGCTAAACCTATGGGTTCAGAAGAAATTTGTACAGTTACTTTCCTTACCTTGGTCATCGTTACATGAATGTGTAAAACGGACTACTTCGCTCCACTCCCCCTAAACCTTTAAAATTATAATTGTCCAAATTATTTTATTTATTTTTGCTGACCACTTCATCTTTGATTACGTGTTATCCTTGTTAAATAAATTTATTCTAACCATTTCTACCTTTTAATCATGTGTATTCATCAATTTTCTTCGTTAATTATCACCCCCACCCCATTGACATTTTGACACTGACTAGTTAATTATTGTTAACAAACATATCAGTGCCACTACCTGGTTGGTAAACTGTTGTGTATTGTAGTAAAAATGCTATACGTGTCATATTAGAGTAGAGCCAGAGTGAGATGAGGATCTAATTGAAAATTAAATATTTCTTCGTTGCTCAATCCTTTTGTTTTCTAAATGTCTAAATGGGGATTTTTTCTATATTGAACATTAATGTGCTGGGAAGCTGAATCTTGTTCTTTATATGCTGAGTGTAGAAGATGTACTACACTACAAAATAATGAACTCATGATGTTATGCATTTTCAATCCTGACTAGCATTACCACCATCCTTAATGTCCATGATGCCGACATGATGAGTTATAAAGAGGTGACTGATGATGCTTGTTCTAGTTGTTAGTTCGATACATCGTTGTCGACTATGTGTTCTCTATTGTTCCCTTGAATTCCTGTCTTCACCACCTCTTCTAACAACTTGTTGATTTTCACCTGATACTGGTGCACATATCGTACACACGCAGGGTTCAGAGGCTCCAACTGTCTTCTCATCATTATGGATAAGATTTTATTTTGATAAAATCACCCAGTATACAATTGGTGGATGGTGGCTAGCAGTGGAATCCAGGATGCTAGCCACCATCCACCAATCGTATACTAACTAAATGCCCGGACATCGTCGAAGCATCTGCACAAGAAGCCGACATGTCAACCTGAGACCGAGCACTTCGGTCCAATCAATCGACGGGAAAATCAAAAATTCAATTCAAATCACCCAGTGTTGTACAGTAAGTGATATTAATTGATGACCAACATTTCGATCACAATTTATTATTGCGCATAATCATATCAAGTCACCACTCACACAACTTTTTTTGTTTCATTTATATACATGAGTAAAAATTGATGATTAGACATTTGAATAAAATTAATTTGAGATAGTGTACTTTCGGAAATTAGAATGATTGATCCCACGAAGATAAGCATTGCATGCATTAACACAAAACCATACTATAGGGCGGGTAGGACAGAATCTCAATTCTAAATAGTAATATGGGTAGATGGGTGGAGGGAGGGAGAGATTGACTACTGAATCCTGGTTCATCGAGTCTACAACACCCAAAACAGAAATGACTCAATGCAAATACCAGAGAGGTGTATGGAAGATATTATTACCACCAGTCAGTCAGTCAGTCAAATCAGAGGAGGATAATATATAATCTCAAAATTCTATTTCAATTCACATACATCATAACATTTTAACAAGTTACTTATTATGACTATAAAAACACTCGTCTTATTTCCCATCTGATTGTATCCGATTGATAACACTAAGACTATTTCTGAATGTACTTTACCTTATATTGATTTCATTCAAATGTCTAATCAATTTTTACTCATGCATATAAGTGAAGCAAGAAAGTGCGTTGTGTGAGTAACGCCTTGATATGATTTTGAACAATAAATTGTGCTCGAAACGTGGTCACCACTAAATATTACTGAACAACACTGTGTGATTTATCGAAATAAAATAAATACCCACAATGGAATTATCCTCTACAACAGGATCCAAGTTTTATACTTGTGCCTTCTCATCAGTCTTAAGTATACCCGTCGTCTTCTCGATCCCAATGCAAAGTCTGTCAAATGATCCATTTAACCACAATCAAGAAAACCATCGATGCTAGAAGACGGCATTGTCTTACTCCCCTCTTCACTTCACTTCAAAGGGCTTCTCTAGGAAAATTTCCATTGTGAAAGACAATTCTTTAATAATATACTCCTTGTCCATTGCTGAATAAGGAGGAGGGAGACTTTAGGACTCATTATTGAATGAGTGCCAAGTGTTGTTGAGTAACACTTCTCACCACCTTTCCCCCATCCACTACTACTATGGTGAGAGCTGGCTGTTAGCCGATTGATAGACATTAATTTACGTCAATGTGTATGTCCCCAATAGCGATCGTGAGAAAAATGAGAACAAAGACCTTGCGTAGGCGGATACAGTTAGTATATGGATGATCTGACATTCAAGAAACAGTCACAAAGAGATGCAAGGTCAACTTTCTGTGAGAAACAACCAATCAGAGAGGACTGTGTTTTCCTGCCAACAATAATTTATAATAATGTACATGAAAATCTATAAATATGTATTGATTTCTCTAATAAACGATCTGTTGCCTGGGCCCTTGCCTTCTGTTGTTACACTACCACTCAGAATAAAATGAACATCAAGCAGAAAATGAATACGATTCACAAAAAATAGACATCGGTGTATGTATACACAATGTATTCTTACCCGATTTGTTGACAGTTCAGGACATCGTAGGACACCAGTAGTATCTGTGCTTAAACCTAACGGTGGTGGTTGTGGTACTACTACGCCTTCATGATGATTACCCCCACCACCAACACCACCAGTTGACTGTTGTGTTGAACATGTATTCTTTGCTCCTGTTGTAGTGTTGTTGTTGTTGGTGGTTGTCGTAGATAGTTGGAAGGCGAAGTTGTTATCTAGTCGACCAGCTGCCGTCACTGAAGAAGATGATGTTGGAGGTAATGGTAGACAGCAAGATGATGAATGTGAAGTCTCTTGACCTTGTTGATGATGAACAGCAGCTGCGGCCGCGGCAGCTGCAGCCATGGCTGCTGCCGCTGCAGCATATGGAGAAGCGGCAACAGGGAACGACGACGACGGAGAACCAGTGACAAAGGGTAGAGGAAAGACTGAAATAAATTTAAAAGAGAAAAAATGCATTTATGTAAAAAATTCAACAGATTCCCATTGTAACATTATTTACTAAAACACAAGCTTGGAGCATAGGTTGTTTGTAGGCTGGGATACTCGCTAGCCTCACGACTGCTTACCAGTCAGAAGCAGGTGAATCTCTTAAGGGAAAACCTCCCATCGTCTATGAACCTTCGACTTGCAGTTAGACCACGACACAACACAGTGAAACAATGTCAAGGGCTATATTCCCATGGATGCCGGTGACCGTAAAAACACGCCATTCGATCTTTGCGGATTCTAGTCCGACCGACAGCTGCTACCTTGAAGTGGTAATTGGGCTTGCATATCGCAATGACCCAATAAGCTACACTGGCTGAAAATGTTGTTCCTGCAGTTCCTACCATACCAAGAAGGTTGTCAGGATAGCGATTAGACTAAAAGCAGTTACCGGTACAGTGTATGATTTTGTTTCTTACACTAGGCTGGGGGTCTGTGGGCGAAGTCGTGCTGCTGAGGTACAGGAATATAACAACAGTGGTAAGGTGTTTCCTTCAGACGACCAGCATGCCAGCTAACTATGCTGTCTCTTCACTATGGAGAGAGGGGTTGGAAAAGATCAAACTCAAAAATTGTACATCCCCACTTACCCTACCTACGGTGGTACATAATCGGTGGTAAGTTTACTAATATGGAACCAAACCAAAAAACCAATTCATACAGGCCTCAAGCAGTTGTTCCCTGGGTTCTGCAGTTATACAACACTAGCACTCTTTCTGTTTCAAGTTCCCGAAGAATCAATCAACTTCCACGGTGTGCGAAGCCGGGAGGTAACAACCGCCCACTCACTTCCAAAAGCGCACGAAGCCTTCCTGAGCATCATTCTCCTTTACTCATATCACTTTTCTCATCTTGCTTCTCTACTACAATTAAGACTATTCTGCAGGCTAGTGAGTCATCTTCACTTCACTCTGTGTCCACAAACAATGGTGAGAGCCATAGAAACACCCCCAGATAGCCTTTTCAAGCCACGTCGCCAACTTCATATAGGAGTATTTAACGTCAGGACCCTCTGCCAAATCGGACAATAGGCATCACTAGCAAGAACTCTGGAATCTCGAGCCATGAATGTATGTTGTGTTTCGAAGACACGCAGATGTTATGAACCCGTGCGGCCACCAAGGGCTGTGATACGAACAACACAAGGTGTTTGGAGAAGAAACTCTTTTCACCGAATTCATTATATCAAGCTATTTGATCGTATGTATGCATGACTTTTAAGAAACTAAACACTAAATCACACAAATGGTGTGAATACTTAAAATAATAGTAATAATAATAGTATGAAATGCAATTAAAATGTTTGTAATTATCACATCATAGTTTAATATCACTTGATAGTAGTATTTTTCTTATTTGACACTAGTCAGTAACTAGTGTAATGTGTATGTGTGTGTATGTCTAGTCCTGATCTCTGGTGCAGACTGAATTCTGACAGTCAGTCAAGTTTGCAATGCGACCACTATACCACTCTAGGTGGCTTGCTATCACAGTGCACTGTGAATTGCCGATTTCAAATGGTTGGAGGCAGTCAATAAATAGGCAGGGAGCCTTGGACATACACATAGGTTACGTGCTAGTAGTTGGCACTCACCAGTCAGTCAGTCAGTCAGCAAGGTGTGCATCACCAACCTCAAAGGAACCCATGTACCTTCTGAGATTTGAACCTGTGTCAATAAGTGAGTGGTGCAGTTAGAGACGTTACCACTGAGCTATTATTCCAGCTCGCGATTGACCACCTCCTGTAGATATCAATTAGATACTTTGAATGGACACTAACTAATGATATGTGTCTAGTGGTAACATCTCTGACCACAGTACTGTGGGTTCGAATCTCAGAAAGGACATGAGTTTCTTCAAGATTGCAGATGTGCAAGCCCTGCTATCTGGTGAAAGAATCAAAAAGGACGAAACCTTGGTCAGATGAGGCTTCCTGCCTACTGAATTCCCTCCAATCATCAAATCAAAGAGTAATGGGATGGATGGCAAGCCATACAGGGCAGAGGTGCCTACATTACGATACCTGGCTGACTGAGTGATACAATTCAGTCAGTCTGTACCTGTCTGTCTGTTCTCGACATAGAAACTTTGCACAAATGTGCGGCAGTTCAAGTCGCCAGACTCCCTCCATGTAGCACATAAAGCAAGAGAAGAAATGCATAATAGAGACAGTAAACAGAGGTGTGAGAAAAAGGAATAGTAATAACGAAGAACAAAACAGTTTCACTGGAAATCATAAGTCACAAGGAGTGAATGCATCTGCACCAGCCATCACGGAGAACGATTTTGAGCCATTTCACTAACTGTTTCCAACCATTGTTATTTGCCGTCCCGGAGACCCCAACCAGTCAGGAAGTCTACACCTTCCTACGTGGCTGGATTAAACTAACTGTTGTAGATTTCAATGGTTGGTGAAGCCATGTTTTGGTTTGACCGTCACTGGCGTTCTTTTACAGCCTGACCCTATGTCAGCTAACATTTTCCGTTAGTCGAGGAAGGCGATGACTAGGAATACCTAACACATGTCCTAACCATCTCAGTCGATGTAGCATCACGGCCTCGTCGATTGATTTCACCTCCCACCTTACGTAGCATTAGACGCCTAACGTCAATATTGCTCACCTTACTATACCACTTCACATGGGAGATAGAACGCAGGATCAAAGACAGGTAGCCGGCCTTTTCATGTCTTCCACTCTCAATGGCCAGGTCTCACAGCCATAAAGGAGGACGGAGCGGACTGATGAGCAGTACACCCGCCCTTTGGTCGATAGTCGGATATCACTTCTACGTCAGAGACGGCGTAAACCGGCATATGCGAAACCAGCCCTCTGTATCCGTGTCAGAGATCAACCCGTTGGGACTGGTTGATGGTACTTCCCAAATAAGTGAAGCGGTCAACGTGCTCTACCACTTCACTTCCTATTTCTAATCTAGGAGTCAGTGTAACCCAGTCCTGTAACATCATCTTGCATTTAGCGGGAGCGAATCGTATGCCGAACATTCGTGGATTGCAGCTCAAGGTGTTCAGAAGACTCTATATTTTGTCAGCGTCCTCGCCTAGAAGGACTATATCGTCTGCATATTCCAAGTCAACGGGATTATTCCCCGGTAGCAAGTCAATCCCTGAGTCGCTGAAGTCACTTAGGGTTAAGTCCATTAACACATCTATGATGAAGTTGAATAGAAAAGGGGATAATGGGCATCCTTGACGGACACTACTAGTCGTCACCACTTCAGATGACAACTCGCCGTAAGCCCTCACCTGGCTGGCTGCTTTAGTTCGAGTAGAGTGCTTTAATCAGTGCAATGTATTTTTCTCGGCATTCCCCCTTTACATCCAAGCATCGCGCCAGAGAACCTCTTGGTCGACAGAATCGAATTCCGCCTTAAGGTCAAGAAATATAATGATTGTTGGACGCCGGTAGGAATGACTATGTTCTAGAATCTGTCGAAGGGTGAAGATGTGATCAATCAATACACCCTCTTCCTGGTCTAAAGCCTACCTGGCTCTCTCGTGTTTGTGCCTCCTGAGCACCACTTAGTCTACGCGTGATTATTGAGTCAGTCTGCACCAAACAAAGGACAAACTAGACACAACACGTGACACTACTTGCTTACTTACTTACGTACTACATAGTAGCTAAATCAAAATATTAATATGTACATATTTAATTAAATTCTTAATACAATCACAATTACAATCACTAAGATCAACCACAGTAGTCTGGTATGTGTACAATTATATGCAAATATATATATATATATATATATATATATATATATATATATGGAGAGAGAGACAGAGGTGATCAGATCAGGTGATGAAACCACCAAAACGTTGGAGGTTATTTCAAGACTTCCATTCAAAATGAAGGTATTGAAGAAATTTATTTAAGGCCCCAATTAACTTTTTTTTAAATATAAAACACAGTCTAATTTCAGTGTTATTATTGTTGTATTGAATAATTCAAAGCATTATAAACAGTTATACTTTTTATCATCGTCCGATGACCGATGATAGGTAAGCATACAAAAAAATCACCTGATTTGATAATATAATGTGAAAGAACTATAAGGTGATGTGATGAATGGCAACAGACGACGTTACAGGATACACGCAAGCACGCACGCACACAGACACACACACAAACACAGACAAACAATATCACAACAATAGTTGATATGGCTTAGTAGGCAAGCTATAATCGACGAAGGTTGGCGAAGCTACATTGTCTGGCGATGGGGCTAGAACACATGTTGCGTGTGCCTGCCTAGCCAATCACCTGCCTCATCGACCAATGAATGGTAGTTGAACTTGGAATTAGGATAAAAGAGAAGACTAAGCGGTGGGGTTAAATCAAAACTAGCCATTAGTCCATGATGTCTTTAACAGCTGGTTTAAGCTAGCCAGCTGTATGTAAGAAGGTGTCTGGTTAGGGACTGAAGGATACAAAGAGTCAACAGCTGGAGACTATTAATGATGTTGGTTCAGACGAATTCACCCTGTGTATTCTCCCAAAGAAATGGCTCTCTACGGGCACGTAGAAGCATATCGAGGAGAGGAGGAGGAAGAACCAGAAGAAAGAACGCAAAGATGGACAACAAGAGGGAAAACTGAGTCCGATAGACAACGCAGTGAATAAAAAAGTGAAGAATAGTGCGAAGAAAGACAAAAGGTGATTGCACGACACCAGAAACAACTGAAGCGGAACAGACAGCAGGTAAAAGAGACCGCAGTACATTATGTCATATAACCAGGTCTCTATCCAGGAAGAGATCAACACAGATGAAATCTATAAAAGATGGTGAAGGGAACCTATAATTACCAAAGACAAGAAACAAAGTAAACAGTGAGCTGGTCACTTCAAAGGACTTTTGAACCGATAAACCCTTGCGAACCCTCCCAGTGGCTTAATGGTCTGCGAGCTAGCTCGCC